TGGGGAGGGGGGTTTTCCTGAAACATTTGCTTCCACAAAAGGCCTAGGCTCATCACTACCGATGCCACACCCAGCACAGAGGAAGCCCTGTGGTCATGCAAATATGTGTTCCCCAACACACTCAAAGACTCTGAGCCCTCCCCACACCCAGGCAACAATCCCAACCTCCCCCACTACTTTCAGCAGAGCAGGTAAGGGCCATAGAGGATGTCAGTCAGAGACCCCCTGACTACTCCCTGCCCCAGAAGGCACCCAGGATGCACAAGGAAGGAAGAGAAGGGCTATAGGAGAATGGAGTCAGAAACTGTGTGAGTGTGTGTGTGTGTGTGTTAGGGGTGGGGATAAGAGCAGAGACTGGCTGACTTACACTGTGAGAGAGAGAAGGGAAGGCACAATGCAGGGTGGAGGGTGGTGCGAAAATAATAATAATAGAGAGAGGGAGAGAGCAAACAGAGACACTAAGAAAAAGAAATGACAGATTAAAAAAAAAAGAAATGACAGGAAGAGAGAGACAGGCAAGGAGAGGAGAAAGACAGATAAGGAAAGGGAGACAGAGAGACAGCTAGATAAGAACAGAGAGCCAGGGAATGCAAGATTGGGAAGGAAGTAAGCACTGGTATGTGGGGATGGGGGTAACTGCAGTCCAGGCCCTACCCAGCTTCTGGACCTGGCTTGCCAGGGAGTTCCTGAGAACTCCAGCTGCCCTGCAAGGGCATGTAGATGTGCCCCCCCCATGCCTGACTCACTGCCTGGCCTGTCCTCATAACCTGCCCCTCTACTCTGTTCCTTCCCCTAACTTAGGGAGACCCCAGGATCAGCTTGAGTGACTTCTCCCTCCCTCCCTACTTCCCAGGCTTGGGACAGCCAGATATCAGGTCCTCAATGTCTAGAGCATTAGGCAGTAGCCTCCAGGTGGTCATGGTGAGAGAGGGCAGGTCCCCACCATGCCCCTCACCTTAGATGGAGTATAGAGCTTACAGGGGCCCAGGGAGGGGGTGAGAACGCAGTGGTCAGGCGTGTGTGAGCTGTCAGGCAGTGTGCTCAAAGCTGCCTCATTCGTTTGGATTCATAATCAATCTGTCTATTCGAGTCCATTATCTCCTTGTTAGCTCTGCGGGTGAGGGAGGGTGAGGGAAAAGGGAGGGGACCCCCCGGCAGGCAGAGGCAGTGGGTTAGGCTGCTGCCCCACCCAAGAAGACAGCTCATCACCCCTAGTCCTCAATCCTGCCTTGTCTACCCCTCCAACACCCCCTCCAGGGTTGGACCTACCTGGGACTTGAAAGGGAATTGGGAGATGGGAGCACTAATTGGGAGCACTCCAGAGCCTGGGCCCCAGTTTGAAGGCCCAGAGCGATGAGCGAACTGCATAGGGGCAGCCTAGACCCCATGCCCCCTCTCGCCATGCAGGGATCTAGGCCCAGACTCAGACGAGGCCATCTCCTCTTCTCCTAGTCTCCCTAGGGCCATTAGAGAGAGATATTGAGTACCTTCCCGTTAATTACTGCAAGATACTCGAGTATCTCAGTGCCAATTACTGCAGGCTGCTCAAGTAACTTCCAGTGATGGTCCCTGCTTCGGGTGCCTTCCAGCCAGTACAAGAGGAGGATTTTCCTGCAGTTCCTCTCATCTTCTGGAGGTCTTGCTGGCCCTTCCAACCACATAGAATACTCAAGTATTTCCCAGCCATTACCAGGTGATGCTTGAGTACCTCTAAGCCAATTATTACAGAACACTCCCATAGGCTTCACCAACTGCTAAAAAGTACTTGAGTATTTTGTAAGCAATTTGTGCAGGATGTTAGAATACTGCAGAATGCTGGAGATTCCTCCCAGCTTTGAACCTCTGACTGCAAGACAGTCTCTCAGCAAGGGCCCTGACTCCTAGCCCCAACTAGAGAGACAAGAGTGGACAGGGAGATGGGGGTGTGAAGAGAGGATCTCACTTCCCCAATCTAAATCCAGAGTTCACGACGATAAGGGTCCTGGGAAGGCGGGGTGGCCTGGAAATGGGGAGAGAGCTCAACACCTCGCCATGACCCCTCACCACCTCCCACAAATTGCAGGTCAATTTCCAGTTCCAGAGGAGAGGCTGACATTGCCTGGTCATGACAAGGAAAGGGGTGGAAAAAGCAAAGGGCAGTAAGGGTGTATAACTGCGTCTTCTGCCGCTGACCACCCCCATTCCGTGGGGCAGAGCTTGGGCTCCTGGCTAGGCTCCAAAAAGCTGTTTCCAGACGGCTGGGCTCCTCAAACGTGGCCCGAGGAGAGTCCCTTCCTCCTCCCAGAAGCCGCCGCCTCAGCAACCCGGAGCCCTAGGCGACATCTGAGCAGTGACCAAGGGGCCTGCAGGGACAGTGGCGGCAGCGGAGGAACAGCGGGGCTCTGCCCAGGGCTGGGCTGTACCAGCCTCCTGCCTCGCCCGCTCTACCTGGCCCAGCAAGCAGGCAGCGTGTCCGCGCCCTCGAGGCATGGGTACGCCCTACTGACCCCGCGCCCCTCACCCGCCGGACACTCACAGCTCTGTCAGGTTCCCGGCGCCCCGCAGGTAGCGAAGGCTATTCAGGGCTCCAGGCTGGGTGCATCGCAGCCCCGAGGGGCCGTGGGAGCAGCAGGCTTCAGGGCAGGATGCGGCGCCCGCAGATGCCAGCATCAGCCAGGCCAGCAGGCTGCCCAGCCCCGTGGCCCGGTGGTACCGGCCGAGATGCCCGCACCGTTTGTTTTGCAGCATCGCGGCGCCCGCTTAGCCCTGGCCGGGCCGCCGTCAGTGCGCTTGCAGCTGCCGCTGCCGGGCCTCTCCCGACATGTGCGCGGGGCGGTGTTAAAAACCCAACCAAAGATAAAGGGCGGGACCAGCGGCTCGGCCCGCCTCCTCTGGCTCCTGCCCCACCTCCTCCTCTCCTATGCCCCCAACTCTGCCCCTTGGCCTAGAAGGCCCCCAGCGTCGGCTTCTTCCTCATGATCCCCTGGCTCCCAGAGACGTCTGCTGAGGGTAGGGGAACTGGGAAGTTAATAGATTCTTTCTCACAACCTAACTTAACTCAATTTTTAAATTTGGGGAGAGGGGAGGGGAGATTAGTGAGTTGGGGAAAGGTTGCCGCCCAGGTCATCCTGGCCAGTCCCCAGCCTCAGAGCTCCCTCAGGGCGCGCGTGCTGGAGGGGGTGTGCATGTCACTTGGGGGTAAATTAGATGCAACATGCTCTAAGCCCTAGGGATAAAAGGGAGGGGACCCCAAAAGGACCAAATGCCGGGACTGAAGAAGGAAAACAGATGACATAGAAAAAGGGAAAGCGTGCTCCCCTCCCCCCAAAAAATGAAAAAACACAGAAGGGGGAGACCAGGAGGAGAGACCCCGCCCTTCCAGGAGAAGCCACAGGGTGGCGACAGAGGCCGGAGCGCAAAGGTCTGAGCTTCAGGCAGAGTAGGGGGTCGCTGCCTACAACCCCCACCGCGTTGTGCCTTCTGACCCTGACCCGCCAGCGCTGGCCCCCAGGTCCAGCAGGGCTAGGCCGAGCAGGGCTGGCATCGATCGCCGTCCTGACAAGAGCATCGATTTCTGCGAGGAGAAATTAATAGATCTTCTCTGAGCTCCTCGGACGCGGGAGTCGTCCGCGGGTGAAGCTGGGAATTCCTGGACCCTAGAAGGCCTCGCACCCGGAAAGCCCCGGGATCCCCAGCACCCAAAGCGCTAGAGGACAGATACTGTCCCACCCACCCGCGGGCCTTTGCGGCTGCAAGAGCCCGCCCCGTCTCGGGGGGGGGGGCGCGGAAAGGCTTTGGAGGAGGGCTCTTGGAGGCAGGGGACAGCCAGGGGCCCCAGTGCGCCGGCAGAGTTAGTCTTCCGAGAGGTGCACAGTTCTTTCTGCCAGGGCTCCAGCACGGACCGTACCCCAAGTCCCAGCGACCGAGACTGACTGACGGACTGACCAAGCAGCGTGAGTTTAGAAGGATGACCAGACAAAAGCGGAGCCCCACACGGTGATTGCCCTCCCTCGCGGATCTTAGCCAAAACCAGGACCTTGGCCCCTAGCGAGGCTCGCGCTAAAGGGGCCCCAAAGCGGACTGGGCGGTCTCCTGGGAGACTGAGAGGGGCTCCGACAATCTCAGGGCTTGCGTATTCAGGAGACACATTTCAAGTTCCTGCCGTGTTTCAATAAGCTCCCACTCTGCAAGGAGTCGCGGCTGCCGGAAGTTATCCCGAAGGTACCAGGACGCGTGTTAGCAGAACCCAAAACAGCCACTCTCCGGAGAACCCGACCGGCTGGTTGCCCCTGCCTCCGTGCGGCCCCACTCGAGAAAAGCCTGGGGTGGGAGCCACTGCAGCCGCAGCGGGAAAGGAGGGGGTAGCTGGGTTCTTGGCCTAATCCTCTTCCCCTGTACTTTGACCTTATTTCCCCAACAGACCTGTACCCCCCCCCCTCAGTTGTCAGGCTAAATATTTTGGTTTGGCCAGGTGGGAGGGGTGGAGAGAGCCGAGAGGCCCCGCAAAAGAACCTGTTTCAGCCTGGGGCTAGGGTGGGGAGAGCCGGAACTGGGCCGGCCCCAGGGTGCCCGCCCTGGGATAGGGCAGTGAGTGGGCGCTCAGGAGCCCAGCCATCCCGAAGGGTCTGGGGAGGCCACCCCCACCTAGTCCCACATGCCAGAACCCCACTGCTTCCCTCTGGCCAACACTCTTCTCAGGGCTTCTGCTCTGTCCTCTGCGTTTGCTGGCTTCCTGACCTGCCTTTTGCTCTTAACTCTGTGTTATTTCTCTCTGCGTCTCTCCCAGTCACTGTCTGAATCTCTGTCTCCATCTCCTGTCTCCGGGTTCACAGAATCTCTCTGCCTCCAGAAGCTTGACACTGTCTTTGTGTCTCTGTGATTCTCCTTTCTTTTCTTTCTCTTCTGTCTCTGCCCTCCTTCTCTTCTCTGTCCCTGAAAGGTGTCCCTTAGGGCCAGTCAGACCCTTCTCACCAGACCATCTGGAGGACAGCCAGGACTGAGCCCAAGCTAAGGCTGAGACAATGGCAGTACCCAGCCTGTGGTCCTGGATAGCATGTCTGCTTGTGATCCTCCTCTCCTTGGGATTCGGCCTGGACACACTAGAGGGTGAGTCTCCAGCACCATCTCCCGGACCCCCAGCTCCCTCCCAGCCAGCTGGGAAGCTAAGCTACTGAGCATCCAACCAGAACACATCTGCTTTGCACTGCAACATGAAGACAGTTTAGCTCTCAAAAGGAATTCCCATCAGGAAGAGCAGTTAGTTTCCCCACATAAAGGTGTATTTCTCTCAGCTCCAGATTTGAGAAGGACCTCAAAATAGGGGCAGGAATAGATGTTCTCCGCTCCTGTTGTGAGATTGTGAGCCCAGTAAAGCCTGAATGACAACAGGAATGGGGCTGGGAGATTCTTAGAGGTCATCTCTGGAGCTGAATGGGAAGGGGACTGGTAGCTGAGGACCAGCCACCAGTACGCAAGTGGACCCATTGTGTGGACAAGGAAACTGAGGCTCAGAGAATTGAAGGGTAGAGCCAGACCAGGTCCTGAGCTCCTACCTCCAGGGCCCTATACCACATCCCCCACTCCCAGGGCTCACCCACTGAGGGGCTGGTGTTGGGGAAGAACTGCTTTTTGTCAGTGCCCCAGATCCTACCCCCAGGCTAGACACTTCCCACGTGATTGGAGAAGGACTGGTAGGAACCCAATGACTAAAAGGCTCTTATGGGGGAGGGGAACTGGGGGAGGGAGAGGAAAAAGACTGGGATGGAAGATTCAAAAGGGGAAGGACTGGAAAGACTAAGAAGTATCCGCTTCCCCAAGCCCACCATTCCCCTCCAGACTGAGGGGCACTCTAAGCCTGCTCCCATGATGAGTTCAGTCTCTGCCTGAGGGATCCCATGACTCCCTTCAGACTGGAGGCTTCCAGGGCGGTCTCCCCTTCTTACAAAGACAGGAATGATACAAATCTTTTGAGGTAGGGGGTCTTCTAGAAGTTGCAGCCTGACAGGCACAGTCCCCCCCCACCACCACCACCACTGCTGCACTCCCTCCTCTCCTCCCTTCCTCCCCTGCTGTGCCAGGACAGGGCCAGGCAAATGCCAGCCTGCAGTATGGTTGTCAGGATGGGAGCATGTCCCTGAGGCGGGGGAGTCTAGTCAGGGAACCCAGATGTCCAGTTCTCATGCTGCTTTGCACAGAGCCATGTCCTGAGGGGAGGCAGGGGTTAATCTGTGAAAGTCGTGGATTTGTTTTTCCAAATGACTCCCATCAGGGGAGCCCTGGAGAGGTAGGGGAATGATGGGAAGTGGCATGTGGGCGCCTGAGAGAACCCCCCATCTGCTTTGCAGAGCCTGATTGGCCCTCGCTGGGAAGGGTTAGAAGTGTTTTCCCATTCTCACTGTCTCTTCCTCTCCCATTTTTTTCACATGTGCCTGAATGCTTGCAGAAACACACTGGCGCAGGGGTGTGCACGCATGCACACACACACACACATTCAGAGCTGTTGGGCAGAGCCAAGCTCAGGACCATTAATGACAAAAGGGAGAAGGTGTGAAGTAAGCCCCAGGGAACCAGCCTTGCCTGCTTCCCCTACACATACACACACACACACACACACCCCACACCACACACTTAACAAACCATGGGGGATGGGCCTGGGAACCTGTGCTGTGTGCAATATAGGAAGGCTAGGTGGGGAGAAAGGGAGGGAGTGGAGGCTGGAGAGGTTAGCAGGACCTGAATGTCTTGCCAAAAAATTCAGATTTGAACCTTTGGCAATGGGGAGCCATGGAAGGTCACCTTGGGATTAAGTGAGATATCCATTAGGGGAATGATACTAGGTGCCTTAGGGAGACAGTGGGGAAATGGGGCTGGGGGTCTGGATCTGAAGGAGCCAGACATCTCCAGATGCCCAGGGGAAGAATGGGTTAGGGACCCAGATGTCAACTGATTCAACCTATGATCCCTGAGTGCCCAGAGGTTCCAACCCTGGAATGGGCACCATGGGGGAATGCAAGGGACTGCTTTCCAGTCACAGAGTTCATTCAATCATTAAATATTTTATTCAGTGCCAATTTTGTGCCAGGCACTATACTAGGCACTAGGGATAGAGCAGTGAATTATACAAAGATCCCTACCCTTATGGAATTTACAATTAACAAAATAAATAAGTAACTTATATATTATAAAGTATCAAGAATTATAGAAGGAAGGGGAATAGGGAGTGCGCAACTTTAAATAGGCTGACCAGAAAAGGCCTCATTGAGAAGGTGACATCTGAGCAAAGACTTGAAGGAGATAAGGAAGCTATGTAGAAGGAAGAGTGTTCCTGCCAGAAGGAACAGAAGGTGCTAAGACCCTGAGGTAGGAGCTTGGTTGGCTTGTTTCTGGAAGAGCAGAGGTCTGTGTAGCTGAAGAAGAGAGAAAGGGGATGAAATCAGAGAGGTCACAGGGACTCAAATTGTGCACATGCTGACAGACCTGTGGAAAAGACTTAGACTTTTATATCAAGTGAGATGGGAGCCATTGGGGGGTTTTAACTACAGGAGGGACATTATCCAACTTATGTTATGAAAGTGGAGAACAGGCCATAGAGGTGACAAGAACAGAAGTAGGGAGATCATTTGGGAATCCAGGGGAATATAATAGTGGAAGCAGGGAAGGTGTGACAAGTGGTTGGATTCTGGGTATATTTAAAGATAGAGCTCATGGATGGTGGGGGGAGGGTTAAGAGAAAGAGTCAACATGAGACCAGAAGAACTAGATGGTGCCCAGCTACCCCTGTCAGCCACTCAGAGGGGGATTGGTGCAGGAGATCATGGATAGAGTGGGAGAGCAATGTGGAACAAAACTTAAAATCATTAGGGGGAAAAAAAAGACCATCTTTGCTGGTCTGATAGAGCCTGGTGAGACCCCTGAGACTATGGCCCTTAGTTACCCTTTAGGTCTGGAACTGAACTCACTCCTGTGGCTTCCAGCCAAACAACAGGCAGGTGTATGGGGTGAACATTTACATCAGGTAAACTCCTTGGAGTGATCAATCAATCGTGGGAGAACAGAAAGGCAGTGTTTGCACAGGGAGACAGCTTAGGGGGGCAGGAGTGCATGGGAGGAAAGGACACAGGGAAGAGGTAACTACAGGGAGGAAGTGGGAAGAGAGCTGTTACACTGTGGTGAATGGCAGTCAATGACAGGAAACAAAATGTGTATGAACTGCTGTATGGAAAATGGATTTGCTCTGTAAACTTTCACCCAAATCACAATAAAAATTAAAAGAGAGAGAGAAAATCATGGGTGACTTGCAGGTTTAGGGCCTGAGTGGCTGCAAAGATGAAGTTGCTACCCACTGAGAAGGGTAAGTGGGCTTGGGAGGGAAGGTCAGGAGCTCATTTTGCCCATGGAGGCTCATCTGGTAGAGGCTAATGCACTAAGGCCTTGGGGGCACAGGGAGGAGGACATCCCATGCCCAGAGTGGAGCCCAGACCTGCTCAATGTCCCACTGGCAGTGTGGCTCCCATCCTCCAAAGCTGCCAGGGTGAGATGGAGGTGCTTGGCTAGGGCTGTACTGACTGTTTCATGCCCCATGTGTCCACAGTGTGCCCCAGCCTGGACATCCGTTCAGAGGTGGCAGAACTTTGGCGGTTGGAGAACTGCAGTGTAGTGGAGGGCCACCTGCAGATCCTGCTCATGTTCACAGCCACAGGAGAGGACTTCCGTGGCCTCAGCTTCCCACGTCTCACCCAGGTCACCGACTACCTGCTGCTCTTCCGTGTCTATGGCCTGGAAAGCCTCCGTGACCTCTTCCCCAACCTATCAGTCATCCGTGGCACCCGCCTCTTCCTGGGCTATGCACTGGTCATCTTCGAGATGCCGCACCTGCGGGACATAGGGCTGCCAGCTCTGGGGGCTGTACTGCGGGGAGCCGTACGGGTAGAGAAGAACCAGGAGCTCTGCCACCTCTCCACCATCGACTGGGGCCTGCTGCAGCCTGCACCTGGAGCCAACCACATCGTGGGCAACAAGCTAGATGAAGAATGTGCCGATGTGTGCCCTGGCACACTGGGCGCTGCTGGTGAGCCCTGTGCCAGGACCACCTTCAGCGGGCACACCGACTACAGGTGCTGGACCTCCAGCCATTGCCAGAAAGGTGGGCAGTGACACACAAAACATGACTGAGGGCACAGAGAGGGCAGGGGCAACTGGCACTGGGTAGCCATGGGATGATATGGGTCAGTATTTTGCTGTCACTATTTATTTTAATCCTCACTCATCCTATGAGGCAGGTCTTATTGTTATTTCCATTTTGCAGATGAGGAAACTAAGGTTCAGAAAAGTTCCAATAACTGATTCTGCGTAAGATAGTCAAGGTGCAGGCACAAGATGGCAAGTAGTCATGGACTAGGTAAAGGGCAGTTACAAAATGAGCACGGGGGAAGAGGCTAAGCATGAATGGATACAAGGAGGAAGTACAAGAAGCAGGGTAGGGCAGTGGTTCAGTACAAAGTCAGATGGCCTGAATTAAAATCCCAGCTCTTTACTTACTGATGGTACGACCTTGGGCTATTCATTTAGCCTATGCCTCAGTTTCCTTATGTGTAAAATGATCATAGGGTTGCTATGAATAATAAGCTAAGCTATAAAGCATTAGAGTCATACCTGGGCCATGGTAGTAGCTCTTTCTTCATACTAAAAGTGGCCACAGCACAGGTAATGCAGAGGAGGTGGGTATCGCTCTAACGGACCGATTGGGAGCTGGGTGGGAGAAGAAAGGAAGAGGTGAGAGTTGATAGACAGGACAGGTGAGGGCAAGAATGTGAGGTGGGATCTTCTTTAGGAACTAAGATGCATGAAGAGGAAAGAGAAGGATGGAGGTAGAGAACTAGGGTGGTTGTGAGTAGGGCTAGAGGAGGGAGAAGTGAACTTACAGGGGAGGGAAGGTATCCTTTTCAGAGGCTGGGACAGACCTGGGGTCCCCCACGTGGGAGTCTTCTCACACAGCTCCTGGAGGTCAGCTCCCCCACCCCCAGCACCTCAGGGCAGGAGAGTAACCAGATCCCTGCTGTATCCTCTGGGCCCTACCTCCCGGCTGCCTCCCTGTTGGCTGTAAACACGCTGCTGCACATCCTCCAGTGTACAGTGTCAACACGCCCTGGCTGACCCTCTGCCCATGTAGCACTCCCACAGACATCCAGATGCCACGAAGCCAAGTTCCCAGGCCACTGGGCACCAGGCCCACACCCACCCACTGCTGCTTAGGGCTGCCTCCTGGCAGAGGGCCGACACTGGTAGCTGGGTGAAGGAGGAAGCAGGCACAGGGGCAGGGGTGAGCAACCTGTGGTGGCTCCCCCCTCCACACATTCCCAGCCCACCTTGCCCTGGCCTAGCTGTTCAAGAGAGACTGGCTAGTTCACTCTGGCATTGTGCCCAGTGATGATCTGGGCACCAGGCCTAGACAGGCCAGCAGGCTGGAGAGAGGCAGCCCTGACGGGGGACAAGGTCACTGCTCCATCCTGAGTTCAGACAGCCTCAGCTAGGCACTGTGAGAGGTGGGGACCCACAGAAAGGGGCCACAGTCCATGCCCTCAAATGGTCCCCCTCTGAGTCAGCAATCAGTATCATCTGAAGTGGAGGGGTTTGGGTGCAGACTGGGAGTGCTTCATCCCAGGAAGTCTTCTTAGAGGAGGGGGGGAAGGGGTCAGAATTAGCAGGGGGGTAGAGGTGGACAGGACTGAGGAGGTGGTGGTAAGGTCTGACAAAGCGCTCTGCCCACAGTGTGCCCCTGCCCTCACGGGCTGGCCTGCACAGTGAAGGGTGAATGCTGCCATGCTGAATGTCTCGGGGGCTGCAGCCAGCCAGAAGATCCCCGTGCCTGTGTGGCCTGCCGCCACCTCTACTTCCAGGGTGCCTGCCACCAGGCCTGCCCTCCAGGTACCTACCAGCATGAGTCCTGGCGCTGTGTCACAGCTGAGCACTGTGCCAGCCTGCGCTCTGTGCCCAGCCGCGCCTCCACCTTTGGCATTCACCAGGGAAGTTGCTTGGCCCAGTGCCCTCCAGGCTTCACCCGTAATGGCAGCAGGTGAGCATGGGGTGGGTGAGGGCACCCTTGGAACAATGAGGAGTCCCAAAGAGGCCCACACAGGTCTGGGACTCATGCCACACCCTCCCCTTGCCTCTGCTAGCATATTCTGCCAGAAGTGTGAGGGGCTGTGCCCCAAAGAGTGCAAGGTGGGCACCAAGACCATCGACTCTGTCCAGGCAGCACAAGAGCTGGTGGGCTGCACCCACGTGGAAGGGAGCCTCATCCTCAACCTTCGCCAGGGCTGTCAGTATCTTCCTCACAGTCACACTCCTCCTCCTGATCACACCCTTCCTCCTAGGTCATGCCCCTTAAAATGACCCAGCTGAATTACCACTTTTTATCATCCTGAGTCCCAGCCCTGAAGGCCCAAATTCCCCAGGTCTCCATTCAGCCCCTGCCCCATGGACCCCATCACCTTCCTAGCCCAGGCTCCAGCCATGCCTTCCCCATCCCCAGACAATCTGGAGCCGGAGCTGCAGCGCAGCCTGGGGCTGGTGGAGACCATCACCGGCTTCCTCAAAATCAAGCACTCCTTTGCCCTCGTGTCCCTGGGCTTCTTCAAGAACCTCAAACTAATCCGGGGGGATGCCATGGTGGATGGGTAAGGGGTCAGAATCAGGCCTCTGACCAGAACCCTTTGTCCTTCACCCCCACCCCACCAGCACACCCAGAGTAGTAGTGAAGAGCATGCGTTCTGCCACTTACTACTTGTGTGACTCCAGGAAGGGTACTTAACTTCTCTGGTCCCCAGTTTTCTCATCTGTAAAATGGGGCTTATATAACACTGCTTATCTCTTATCTCTTAAGGCTGTTGGGAATGTTACTTAAAGAGTTAACTGTAAGGTGCTTAAAACAGTGCCTGGGACACAGTATAGACTATATAAATTATGTTGTTGTTGTTATGTGCTGTCGAGTCGGACCTGACTCATAGCAACCCCTCCTTGGGTTTTTCAGGCCGTTTCACTATGGAAGTAGACTGCCCAGTCTTCCTTCCGAGGAGTGGCTGGTGGGTTTGAACCACCAACCTTCTGGTTAGCAGTCAAGTGCCTTAGGCACTACACTATCTATGTTGTTGTTAGTTATATATAATTCTATAAGGGTTGGCTATACTTACTGCTAGGAGCCCTGGTGGCACAGTGGTTAAGCACCTGACTACTAACCGAAAAGTCAGCACTTTGAATCTACCAGCTGGTCCATGGGAGAAAGATGTAGCAGTTTGCTTCTGAATAGATCACAGCCTTAGAAACTCTATAAGGCAGTTCTACTCTATCCTGTAAGGTCACTATGAGTCGGAACCAACTCAATGACACAAAACAACAACATACTGCTATCATCTAATCCTCCCAGCTGCAGAGACTGCCTGGGTTTGAAAGTCAGCCCTACCTACCACTGACCAGTCAAGGCCTACTCCATAATATAGCCAGGATTTTTCAAAATTAAAATAATGTTTAAAATCACCATCCAGTCAAACGGACACTTGAAGAAGATGTTTTCCTGTGACTTGTCATGGCTCCTGGCCATGTACCTTAAGGGGTGCTCACAGCCCAGCTGGAGGGGCACAGCCCTAGGCTGAGTACCACTCCTGTGTCCCCTAAAGCCAGCACAGAGCCTGTCTCATAGCAGGTGCTCAGTAAATGTGCAGTGGGGGAAGAAGGGAGAAGGGCAGGAAGCTGTTGACCCCATTTCACTGATGAGGAAAACAAAGTCAGGGAGGGTGGGGTGACTTGCTGGAGATCACTCCTGGGCCATGGCATAGAAGGGTGACTGCTGAGTGCCCCTCCTCTTCTGTGCCTCCAGCCCAGCCCCTCTTGGAGGCCCATAAGCCCCCCCACTGCCCTGTCCCCTGCCCCCACATCCTGCGCAGAGCAGGGTCCCCTGGCCTCCCTCAGGAACTACACTCTGTACGTGCTGGACAACCAGAACCTACAGCAGCTGGGACCCTGGGTGGCGGCCGGGCTCACAATTCCCGTGGGCAAGATCTACTTCGCCTTCAACCCGCGCCTCTGCCTGGAGCATATCTACCGTTTGGAGGAGGTGACCGGAACGCGAGGGCGGCAAAACAAGGCCGAGATCAACCCCCGCACCAACGGAGACCGAGCCGCCTGTGAGACCCGAGACCCCAACCCCAGAGCAAGCGCACGCGCAGTGAGAGACACGAGCCTGAGACACACCCAGGCGGTCACACACGCAGATATTCACGCACTGAAACACACCAGATACCTGCATCTGGGTGGGAGAGGGTGCTCGAATGAGTCAATTTGAGAAGTTCTCTCCGGAGGTCACGTTAGCAATGGGATGCAACGGGGTGGGGATAGGGTTTGAGGGAAGAAGGTTTGGACGGGTGACAGGCTCAGTTGGAAGCTGGGGTTCGCCCTTCGCTCTACTCAGGCCAGACTCGCACCCTGCGCTTCGTGTCCAACGTTACGGAGGCCGACCGCATCCTGCTGCGCTGGGAGCGCTACGAGCCGCTGGAGGCCCGCGACCTGCTCAGCTTCATCGTGTACTACAAGGAGTCGTGAGTCTCGGGGGCGTGTCCAGAATGGGGCGGGGCCAATTTCTTCGCTACAACCTGCCAGTTAAGGCCAGCCGCCAGCCCAGCTGTGGAGAGCTAGAAGCCAGGAGGACTCCCAAGTCGCACTCCTGTACAGCCCATGTCTGTCCTCTTCCTACAACTTCTTGTGCCTCAGTCTCCCCTCACCAAGTGAAACTGGGCTTCTGGAACACTTGAAAGCTGCCCTGCTGGGATAATTAAGCTTCAATTCAGTATGCTAATGTTCTACACTGACCACATGCTCCTGCCCCAGCAGCGGTTTGGGTAGTGCCCACTAATTTGGCCAGTTTTATGAGAGGCTCTGCCAGCATTTCATTAAAGCCTAAGGCAGGGAGGAAGTAGGGTCCACCAGGGACTAGCTGCTCTTTTCTTTGGAGAGAGTGGACTGACCCCCAGCAGGAGGGATAGTGGCTAGACCACAGGAAGGACTTCTCCAAAAGTATGGCTAGCAATAAAAAATAGAAATCCTTAGAGAAGAGAAATGGATTGTGGATGAAAGCCTTAGGAGGAGAGGGATGGAAAGTAGTTTCTCCTTCTATGGTAGATGGAAGGAGATCTGGTGGTGCAGTTGTTAAGGCATTTGGCTACTAACCCAAGGATTGGTGGTTGGAACCCACCAGTTGCTCCGCAGAAGGAAGATGAGGCAATCTTCCATAAAGATTTACAGCCTTGGAATCTCAATGGAGGTCACTATGAGTCAGAATGACTCAGCAGTGAGCTTGGTTGGCTTAGTCCCCTCCAAAGGAGCTCTGGTGGCACAGTGGTTAAGCACTCAGCTGCATTTGGCTGCTAACCGAAAGGTCAGCAGTTTGAACTCACCAGTGGCTCCACAGAAAGATATGGTAGTCTGCTCTCATACAGCTTTGGAAACCATATGGGAGCAGTTTTACTCTGTCTGATAGGGTCTCTATGAATAGGAAACAACTTGGCAGCAACAGGTTTGGTTTTGTCCCCTTCAAAGAAACAAATATTCTAGACATCATTGTGATGCCCCCATTGCCTCCTTGATATCGCCCATGTGGGCTCTGCTTTCATCTGCCTCAGGAAGCAGCTTCCCTTCTGCCCCAAGCCTGCCCCTGCCCTGGTTTCCAGGCAGCCAGCACTAGTTGCCTCTGACCCCAATTAATTTCCCTGTAACAGTGGGTATTGGCCATTTGGGATCATAGATATGTTTGAGAAGCTGATGAAAGCTAGGAGCCCTCTCTCAAAACAAACAAACAAACAAAAAGCACAAAATGTCACCTATAGTTTGGAAGGGTCATAGAGTTCAAAATCCATTCACGGGCCTATCTTAATAGGACTTGGGGAAGAGAGTGGACTCCTGGTTCTGGGTCCAGGAAATCCTTCCTGTGGGGAATTAGGATAATGTCATCCCTTATAGTTCCTAGTTTCATTTATACATTGTAAGATGTTTGAATCCACATGGAAACTGAAGCTCAGTATTCCTTGCTAAGGGATGAGGTGATATTTCATTCCAGATTTGGCTGAGGACACAGATATCACAGGACCCACTGAGTCTAACAGGTGGCTGGAGTCACGACTCAGCTCATGCATACTGGGAGAAGAATGGGAGTGAAAGGCCTGGGATGATTCAGAGAAGAGGGCAGCACTAGGAACTAAGGGCTTAGCCCTGTCCCTCACCTCCTGCATGGGGTGTCCAGCCCATTCCAGAATGCAACAGAGCACGTGGGGCCAGATGCCTGTGGGACCCAGAGCTGGAACCTGCTGGATGTGGAGCTGCCCCTAAGCCGCACCCAGGAGCCAGGGGTAACACTGGCCCCCCTCAAGCCTTGGACACAGTACGCAGTGTTTGTGCGGGCCATCACCTTGACCATCGCTGAGGACAGTCCTCACCAAGGAGCCCAGAGCCCCATTGTGTACCTCCGAACCCTGCCTGCAGGTAGCTGCAGCCTTTGGAGGGAACCGAGGCTAGATGCCTGGATCTAGTGTGAGTGGGTGAATCTAGGCACCAGAAACAGAGAAGCCAGAATGCTAAACACCCGGCCCATAGCAGCTGCAGCCGGAAAAGAATAGGCGCTATTCACCTAGGTCCTAGGGAGGGTGGGGATAGGAAAGTGCAAGGTGAATAGCTGAGCAGAATCAAGGGCCTCCAGCAGAGAAGGGAAGGGCAAAAGGCTGAGTTCTAAGAAGGGGTAGGTGATAAGGGAGAAGGAAGGGGTAGTGGGACTCTAAGGAGAGAGGCCCATTACCAGACAATATCTGGGAGAGTGCCCCACCGCCTCTGAGCTGTACCCTCCTCACACACCCAGCGCCCACGGTGCCCCAAGATGTCATCTCCACCTCCAACTCCTCCTCCCACCTGCTGGTGCGCTGGAAGCCCCCGATCCAGCGCAACGGTAACATGACCTACTACCTGGTGCTGTGGCAGCGGTTGGCAGAAGACGGTGACCTCTATCTCAACGACTACTGCCATCGTGGTGCGCAAGGAGGAGGCGCGCGCAAGCGGGGCGGGCGATGCACCGCGGGCGTCGCCAGACTCTAACCCCTCATCTCTGCCGCCGCGCCAGGCCTGAGACTGCCAACAAGCAACAGCGACCCCCGCTTCGACCGCGAAGAAGGGGAACTCGAGACCGAGGTGGAGCCCGGCTGCTGCCCTTGCCAGCACCCACCTCCTGGGCAAGCCCTGCCCCCGCTGGAGGCGCAAGAAGCCTCATTCCAGAAGAAGTTTGAAAACTTTCTACACAACGCCATCACCATCCCCAAGTGCGGGGCGGCTTTCGCGGGCGGGGGTGGGGTCTGGTGGGCGGGTCCTCCAGGAAGCTGGTTTACGCGGGAAATTAAGGTGGAGCTTGTGCAGGCGGAGCCTAGGCTTGTGGGGAGGCTCTGGTTGGGGGCGGGTTTGGAGACCGTGCTTGGCTGCTGAGGGCACAGGGAAGTGTTCGGGGTGTGTTCGGGGCGGGCCTGACAGGGCCCCGCACTGGCCTCCCCAGATCTCCTTGGAAAGTGACGTCCATCAACAAGAGTCCCCAAAGGTGAGCAGGGGCGTGGCCGGGGGCTGAGGGGCGTGGCTACTCCGGCGGGGCCTTGGGTGTAACCCTCACCCTTCCCAGGGACTCGTGGAGGCACCGCCGGGCCGCGGAGGCCCCTCGGCTAGCGGGAAACAGCTCGGATTTCGAGATCCAGGAGGACAAGGTGCCCCGGGAGCGAGCGGTGCTGAGCGGCCTGCGCCACTTTACGGAATACCGGATCGACATCCACGCCTGCAACCACGCGGCTCACACCGTGGGCTGCAGCGCAGCCACTTTCGTCTTTGCGCGCACCATGCCCCACAGTAAGTGACCCTGACCTTCCATCTCCCACTCCCACCATCGACCACAAGGGCCCTATGCAACTAGTGCTGGTTGATTTTGTTTGACTTCCCTCTAACCCCAGGGCCTTGCTTTACGCGCCCCTCCCAATTTCCATAATCCCTCAAGCCTGCCAGCTGAGCCCTTTGGTTTTGAAAGTGAAGGTGAGAGGAAATACTTGTGGCCCGGCTTTCGGGTGCCCCCTCCTGCAGGAGAGGCCGATAGTATCCCAGGAAAGGTGGCCTGGGAGGCGGCCAAGAACAGTATACTCCTACGCTGGCTTGAGCCACCAGACCCCAATGGACTCATCCTCAAGTATGAGATCAAGTATCGACGTTCTGGAGAGGTAGGTACTCCCAAGGGGACTTCCTACCCGCAGCTCACGTTTGCACCTCCATTCCCTTACCAGCCAGCTGTCACATATTGCCTTCAGGAGGCCACAGTGATTTGTGTGTCCCGCCTGCGATATGCCAAGTTCGGAGGAGTCCAATTGGCTCTGCTGCCCCCTGGAAACTACTCTGCTAGGGTTCGGGCAACCTCACTGGCTGGCAATGGCTCCTGGACGGATAGTGTCGCCTTCTACATCCCTGGCCCAGGTACACACAGCCTCTGTCCCAGCCTACTCCAAAACAGCCCCAGCTAGACTCCTGCCCCATTATTTCCCAGTGTAGAAGGAGAATCATCTCCTGTCTTCTGACTTCTCCATTTTTGGAGACAACCCCACCTTTTACTGCCCTCTGACCCTGTCCTATCCCCTGCAGATGAAGAGGATTCTGGGGGGCTGCATGTCCTCCTCACTGTCACCCCCATCGGGCTCATGCTGCTCATCATTCTTGCTGCCCTTGGTTTCTTCTATAGCAAGAAGAGGTGATGACAAATCCCACCAGTTCCTATCCCTTTCTCTCTCTGAGCCCTCAGCATAAAGAGAATGCAGTTTGAGGGTGGTAGATCAGCTAGCTGAAAGACTTCTTAGAGCAGTCACTGGTCCCCTGGGCATGGCATAGAGGAGATAATACCTCTCAGCTAAGGTGACCAGCTTGCTGTGGTTTGCCTGGGACTCTCCTGGTTTTAGCAGTGAAAGTCTTGCATTCTAGAAAAGCTCTCAGGTCTGGGTGTCCCCAGACTAGAAGTCCACACTATCAGCTCAAACTGAGAAGTAATAAAGATGGTCCTTCCATAGCAGGGGGAGGGGCAGAAGACCTCAGGATGTGGCAGATCCTCCAGAATCTGAATTGAATGCAAGAGGAAAATGGGGGCAGGACCCTGATTAGATGGGCCCTAAGAACTAGCTGAGGGGGTGAGAGCCTTTCCAGTCCCGTGTTCCCCCTACTCCCAGCCTGTCAGATCCTAGGACTAGAACCAAGACTAGCTAGGAAAGTGCTTAGGGTCCCCCAGGGGTATCCTGAGCAGGACTTGGGAGGATTTTCAGTAACTTCTCTCCTCATCCCAAAGTCCCTCTTCCTTGTCCTCTGACTTTGCTCCTGCCCTCCTGAGGACTCTTCCAGCCTGACCTCCTCGCCTCCCATTGCAGAAACAGCACCTTGTATACCTCTGTGAATCCGGAGTACTTCAGCGCCTCTGATAGTAGGTCTGGGGGCTGGGGGCCAGGTGGTGTGGGAAAGGGAGGCAGACTTCCAGAGACCTTCTTGGAGAATGTGGCCTTAGGACTTGAGCCCCTTCCTAAGGGGAGAGGAGAAGTGGGTGGGGGTGCAGCAGTGAGCAGCATCCTTGCTTGTGACCCCCCCCCCACCTCCTCTCAGTGTACATCCCTGACGAGTGGGAGGTGCCTCGGGAGAAGATCTCCATAATCCGGGAACTGGGCCAGGGCTCTTTTGGGATGGTTTATGAGGGGCTGGCAAGAGGACTTGAGGCTGGAGAGGAGTCCACGCCCGTGGCCCTGAAGACGGTGAATGAGCTGGCGAGCCCACGGGAACGCATTGAGTTCCTCCAGGAGGCCTCTGTCATGAAAGCATTCAAGTGTCACCATGTGGTAAGGGAAGGTCAGGAGCGCTGTCAGGGCTGTAATTAGGGTAAAAGCCATGTGGTAAGGGGAAAAGGGTCAGGGATGAGGTCAGGGCCCCATCAAGGTCAGGATTGGAACTGTGGTTAGGATTCTAACTGGAATAAGGGTCATGGTTGGGGTTAGCATCAAAATAGGGTTATGGGCACAGTCTCAGGGGACACCGAGGTCAATTGGCATAACATAGTCCACATAAACAATGTTCTACATCTTACTTTAGTGAATAGCAACTGGGGTCTTAAATGCTTGTGAGTAGCCATCTAAGGTGCAACTATCAGTCTTTCCCATCTGGAACAAAGAAGAAGAGTGAAGAAAATCAAAGACACAAGAAAACAATTAGTCCAAAGGGCTGATGGACTACATGAACCCCAGCCTTCATGACCCTGAGAGCAAAAGAACTAGATGGTGCCCAACTCCCACTGCTGACCACTCTGAAAGGGATCACAATAGGAGGTCCTGGGTAGAGTGGGAGAAAAATGTGGGACAAAACTCAAAATCATTAAAAAAAAAAAAAAGATAAGCTTACTGATCTGATAGAGACTGGTAAAACCCCTGAGACTATGGTCTTTAGGCACCCTTCAAACCTAGAACTGAACTTACCCCTGTGGTTCAACTTTCAGCCAAAAAATAGGCCTAGAAGGTGAACAATAACACGAGAGATAATTACTTCTTAGGACAATGAACCATGCATGATCAAAAGGGCAACATTTACCCAGGAATAAAGCCCAGAAGGGAAGGGATAGGAAAGAAGGACTAATGGAAATGGTAAAAACAAGGAGGAGGTGAGAAGAGTGCTGTTACATTGTGGAGATTGCAATCAATGTCCATAACAATGTGCATGAATTGTTGAATGGAAAATCAACTTGCTCTATAAACTTTCACCCAAATCACAAAATCACATTAAAAAGTTTAAAAAAAAAAAAAAAAGTAGGATTGTAGCTAGGGCTGAGATCAGTCATGGTTGAAGTCACCATTGGGTGTCCAGCTCATTCTTAAGGTCACAATTGAGATCAAGATCAGGGTTGGACCAAGTTCATGGATGGAATGGTAGTAAGATGATCAAGGTCATGAGTTAGGGTTAGTTAGGGTTATTGTTAGGTTATGTACAATTAGGGTTAGGGTCATGGTTTTCCATAGGGTCAGGGTTGTTGTCTGGATCAGTTTGTGATCACAGTGGATCATGGTCATAGCCAGGTGGATTAAGGGGAGCTGGGGTAAACTTGCAACTAGGCTCTTTGTTCATCATAGGTACGTCTCCTGGGCGTGGTGTCCCAGGGCCAGCCAACTCTGGTCATCATGGAGTTAATGACGCATGGAGACCTCAAGAGCCACCTTCGATCTCTGCGGCCCGAGGCTGAGGTGTGGACCAGAGACCAAGAGGCTAGTCTTCTCCCAGGACTGGGGAATTAGAGAAGTCTTGGGAATGGTTGGGGGCAGTCTTTGGGAAGAAGTGCAACCTCTAGTTTCCTTCTTCAGCAGCCCTCTTTTTTGGCTGCAGAACAACCCCGGGCTCCCACGGCCCACTCTGGGGGACATGATCCAGATGGCTGGTGAGATTGCAGATGGCATGGCGTACCTTGCTGCCAACAAGTTTGTGCACCGAGACCTGGCGGCCCGCAACTGTATGGTGTCCCAGGACTTCACTGTCAAGATTGGGGGTACAGAGGATGCCAGGCGGGCAAGGGCAGCTTGAGGGGTAGACTCCCTAAACTAGGTGTCAGGAGGCCTGGGCCTAACCCACAGTGTTGTCCCTGACAGCCTGTGAGAACTTTAGCAAATCACACCCACGCTGGATATTAGGCACCTCTTCTGAGGGCAAAGGGGTTTGAATGGGATGATCTTGGAGGTCTTTTGAAGCCTTTACATTCCATGACTCTTGGAGACTATGGAGGTGGAAAGGGTTGGTACAGTTATTCCTGGGGCAGAAGCCAGTGTATGGTTCTTCTCCACAATCCCTCTACCCTACTTTCCAGACTTCGGGATGACTCGGGATGTGTATGAGACAGATTATTACCGTAAGGGTGGAAAGGGGCTGCTGCCGGTGCGCTGGATGGCCCCAGAGTCTCTCAAAGATGGAATCTTCACCACCCACTCGGATGTCTGGTGGGGCCTGGCTGGAACACAGGGCTCAGGGGATGTGGAGGTGGGGTCTGGGGAGTGGCCTGGGACAGTGCACTCCCTCAGGGTGCACTGAGCAGGGGTGAAGGGTGCTGGACTCAGGCCCCCTGCATGCCCTCCAGGTCCTTCGGCGTGGTGCTCTGGGAGATCGTGACCTTGGCTGAACAACCCTACCAGGGCCTATCCAACGAGCAGGTGCTCAAGTTTGTCATGGATGGTGGGATCCTAGAGGAGCTAGATGGCTGTCCCCTTCAGCTGTGAGTCACCTTATCCTCCCCCTTCCTCACCCCTGCTCTGCCCTGCCCCAGTGATTCTGGCCCACCCACTCTGATGATTTGCTTCCACAATTTTATTGTTGTGTGCCATTGAGTCAATTCCAACTCACAGAGACCCCATAGGACCGAGTAGAACCACTCCATAGGGTTCCCTAGGCTGTCATCTTTATGGGAGCAGATCACCTGGTCTTTTGTCCTGCAGAGCAGCTGGTGGCTTCTAATGACTGTCCTTTTGATTAGAAGCCAAGCACTTAACCATTATGCCACCAGGCCTCCTTCATCACCAGCTATGACTCCCTAGTTAGAAATTCCCACTATAATGCCCATTCACTCCCCTCTGACCCTTCCAGACAATCCCTCTAGCCCAACCCGTGCAAGGATCTCAGGGTGTAGCTGGGTCTCAGGACCCTTCTGACACTCCCCCCTCCCCATTAGGCAGGAGCTGATGAGCCGCTGCTGGCAGCAGAACCCACGCCTGCGCCCCACCTTCACCCACATCCTGGACAGCATACAGGAGGAGCTGCGGCCCTCCTTCCGCCTCCTCTCCTTCTATTACAGCCCCGATTGCCAGGGTGGCCGGGGTTCCCTGCTGTCCACTGATGCAGAGCCTGACTCCCTCCAAGCCCCAGGAGATGCTTCCTCAAACTGCAGCCCCCAAAATGGGGGTCTAAGGAATTGAGGGCTCCCATTTCCTGCTAACTGGCCTCCCTTCCATGGGCAGAAAGGAAGGGACCCGACCTTGCAAACATGGGATGTCTAGATGTTTGCACCTCCTCCCCACAGTCAGACAGGGCAGGGGATGGCTGGGGGTGGGGCAGGAGCAGGAAGGTTTGTGTGCAGGGAGGTATCAGAGCTGACCCACTGCGGGAAAGATTTTCTCAGGAGTCAGAGCTCTCTGTGAGAAAGTTAGCAGGGTCACAACAGGGGGAATGGGAGGAGACTTGCCCATGGACTTCCTGGCCCTCAGAATAACTCTATACAGACTAGCAAGAGAGGGTTTGCCCACTCTGAAGACAGGATCCAGAGAACCCCACCCTCAGTGTTGGATGTCCTTTGGACATCTGGGTCCATTACCACAATCTGACACCAGATGAGCAGTCGGAACCAGGCCTGGAGCACTCTCCGTTCATGTTTGAGATGCTGGGCGGGGAGAGGGAGAGATGTCCATATGACTGCCCTTTTTACCACTGTATTTCACCTCCTCCCCTCTGCCCTGTACATTAGGTGTCGTAGGGAGAACCCAGGAACTTGGGTAAGCAGGTTCCCAGCCTGCCCCTAGCAGGCATTCCCTCTCCTCTGCCCATCAATCAGCTTTTCATCTCCCTTCACCCCACCCAGGACCCCCAAGCTTGGTGCTCCTCCTCCTTTTTCTCCAGGGGCAACCCTTGGTGAAGATTCACCCCTTTCCCCAGCTTCTTCCCCTCTGTCTCCCTTCTATCCTTGTATTATTAAGACTTTAAAAGCCTTGTCTTCCTCCCTTCCCTCACCCCTGCCCCCCACTCCCATCTCTCATGGGAAGACAGGGGAAGGCACAATAAATGCCATGGTCCGTTTGTACCCTGGTCCTGGACAGCCCATTATCTCTCCATCTACATGGTGTTAGCATTGAATGAACTTCCTCTCAGCCTCCTTTGGGACTTGAGGTGGTGACCCTAAGGCGATGATACAGGATAAATACATTGCTGTCAAACACCACCTCGTGAGGACCTGAGCAGCCAGAGTTGCCATGGCAGTGAAGCGGGACTGTCTTGCTGCTACGTCCTGTTCTGCTCTGAGGCCAGAAGTGTCTGCGTCCAGCAGAAAGCCTTTGCGTTTGGCCTCCCAGCTGTACCAACACCCCCCCCCACATCTCATATTTACTTTGTTGTTAGATATTTCCAACAAGCAGGTATTTCCTACCATATCACAGAATAGACTTTAAGTGGACAGACCATGGGACAAGGGAGGGGCACTGATGACATCACCAGTCCATGCAAGATACCCCCCACTCAAGGCGGAATCCATACCAGCACAGGGTCTGGTTATTCTGGGAGACCAGGATCTCAGTTTCTGGAAGTGTCATGAGTTGAGAGATTCCTTTGAGACGTGTTGGAAGGGACATGAGGATCCATTCCAAGACTTTTACGCCAGTGCCATGAGGCCACGTGAAGAATTGCAGAATGGCTCAAAACCTTGGTGAATGGGAAGCAATGGGAGGGGCTGATCAAGGCTACGGGGGCTTTTTAACATACTGTACTGGTGGTGTAGTATTTGAACCTACTATACTGGTGGTGTAGTGTCAAACCACCAGAAGGTTGATGGTTTGAATCCACCAGCTGCTCCACAGGTGAAAGATGAGGCAGTCTACTTTCTGTAAAGATTTACAGCCTTGGAAACCCAATGAGAATTCACCATGAGTCGGAATCAACTCAATGGCGGTGAATCCCCAGCAGCTGTCAGGCAAACCACAGTTTCTTGAGACAGGGCCTGAGTGGAGTGGGCATGAATATGTGTGAGACTGTCTCTACAGCCGCAACTGTGACTCATACACTGTACTCTTGAGGTCAGGGTGGGCAGCAAGGACCGCTTGTCTGGAGCTGCACCCCTGCCCCGTGCCAGCCCGTCATTTGTGCCTGGAGCAACAGTGACGCCTAACGGCTACCAGTGGGACTGCAGCTTAGGGAGAAAAGACCCAGGGAGGTTTTCTCCTCTCCTTTCTGTTAGTGGTCTCCAACCAAACTCATTGCCATCAAGTTGATTCTGACTCATAGCGACCCCTTTCGAGTTTCCGAGAAGATAGATCTTTATGGAAGTAGATTGCCCAGTCTTCCTTCTGAGCAGTGGCTGGCTGGTAGATATGAACTGCCAGCCTTCTGGTTAGCAGTCAATTGCCTCAGGCACTACACCACTCCAGCAGAGTGGAAGTCTCCCATCTGAATTCCATATACCCACAGAGGCACACCCGAACTGGCATAGGCCCAGAGGGCAGCAATGGGATCAGCCCCTCTCCTCAGCAGCCGTGCCCTCTAACTTTCACAGTGCTGGACATTGTATGCTTAGGAAGTGCTGGCCGTCTGTACTTGGAGAGGGCCTCAGAAATATACTGTCTGGACAGCATCTCCAAAAATAAGCATCTGATACTTGGCCCAGAAGAACTTTTTGGAGAAAGATGTAGGGATTCTGGAAGACAAGCTCTACTGCCATTCATGTCCCAAACCAAAACAAAATCCAGACTCTGTGCTGTGGAGTTGATTCCAACTCATAGCAATCCTTCCTTGGGTTTCTGAGGCACTATCTCTGCAGAAATAGAGTGCCCAATCTTCTTTCTGTGGAGAGGCTGATGGGTTTGAACCGCCAGCCTTCTGGTTAGCAGTCAAATGCCATAGGCACTATACCACCAGAGCTCCTTATCCATGTCCTAGAAGGGGACAAAAAATGGATTTGACAAGATAGCAAGAGATATGGGAGTTAAACTTCAGAAGGGACTTCCCAGCTATACATGGAAACTTGTGGAGGGAAGAAGTGTCTCTTCTCAGAGATGGCTGGAGACAGACCATTGATTGACCTGGAAAGGGAGGGGTGAACTCCTACCCCAGAGGCAGAAGGGGAAGTGCAGTGACTGAGGGAGAATTTAGAAACACCTTTCCTGATTCCCTCCTCTCCCTCCCCAGATCCAGACAGAATTCAATATTAGTTCTCAAACAAAGTCACCTGCAACTGGCTGAAGGTGAGGGGACAATGGACAGAATGGCATGTTCACCATTCGTCCCCCTGAAGCTGTCCCTGAATCCTCCTGACAGGTCCTTCACCTGGGCAGAGGGGTGCTGAGGGCTGTGGATCTCACGTTTCACCCCTTCCAAGCTCAAGAACAACAGATGCTTCTTTATGAGTGTAGGGAGGACAGGTTGGGCTCCTCTCACCTGGAGAGAGGCCCCAAAAGGGGGCAGGGTACAGGTAGAGGTGATCTGAGGCCAAGGAGCCAGCCTTCGTGAAAGCAGGACAAAGTGGGGTGCTCCCAGTTCCTCCTCCTCCTAGCTCTGGTTACAGAGTAGAGAGCTGCAGCATAGGTGGTCCCCATGGTCACCCTTTCTTCCCCACAGAGTGAGCTGTAGCACCAAGGCCATTCTCCTGATATCACACAAAGAGAGGACAGAAAAGAATGGGGGTGCGAGGGATGTAGTGAGGAAAGGGAGAGAAAAGCAAGGTGAGGGAGAGAGAGAGAGAGAAATAGGGAGACAGGAGTTCAGAACACTCTCCACACAGCAATGCAGTCCTTGAGAACATCCCAGGACTTCTCACCCACCTTCAATATCTGCGGGGCTGTGGTTCCCAACCCTTTCCCCTTGTGAGACTTTCTGTTTGATCACCTCCAGAAATAAGCAAGGGAACATCCAGAGGGAGCAGAGGGCCTACTCAGGCTCCCCCCTGTCAGGCTGGTCAGGCTGTAGTCATTATCCAGGGGAGGGAGGTGAGCAGAGGTGCCAGAAGAAAGAGTGACCAATGTAGAGAAGACTAAAGGGGCATCAGGGAAGAAATTCTGAGACTATGAAAGGTTCTCAAGGAAATGAGGCAGAGGCTTATCCTCTCTGGGAGGCAATGCAAGGAGACAGTATGGATAAAAAGGACAAAAGCTGGACAGCTGGGCCAGACTAGAAGTGGAGATGAGGGAGTGGGTCCAACCAGTATCTGAGTCTGGAAATGGCAGTCTGAGTAGAAACCCACCACTGCGGAAGCAGAAGAGTGAAGGTTGTACTGTACAAAGACGTCCAGTGGGGTGGGAGGCCCAGGTGTGAAGGAGGGGTGCCAGGCTCTTTGGGAAGCAGAATTTCCTAAGGGAGAGACCCCTGTGCAGGAAGGCTGAGGGCAGAAATAAGATAATGGATGCCAAGTGCTTTGTAAGCTTTAGAGCACTATACAAATTATTATCCTTGTTATCTAATTGTGATATCATTTAAAAAGATGCTGCAGAAGTACATTTAGTGACATGGAGAGATGGCCATGATGTACTGCCGAGCGAAAAGAGCAGGTTGCAAATAATTTAAATGATGCCATTTTTCACATTTACCTGCACAAACTCAGAAAAATAGCTAAAAGTGTATGTATGCATCTAGGTAAAGGGATTATGGGTGATTTATATCTTCTTTTTGCTTACCTGTATTTTCTTTCTTTTACTTTTTAAATAAAACACACATTATTTATATAATGAGAAACAAGCAGTTTGCTTTCAGAAGACTGAAGTTCCCTGCTCAGGTGGATGAGGTACGAGGCTCAAGATGAGTAAGGTCAGAGCTTGTCAGGTCTCTGGCTCTACCCTCTGTCCATACACATTCTCCAAGAACATTTCCCGCCCATGTTCTGAGCTTGGCCAAAATCAGTTTTATTTTTCTTTATTTAAATTTATTTTTCTTTTTTCATTTTGTCTTACTTTCTAGTAGATTCTGCCATGGAGTTGATTACCAATCTCACCATGGGGAATAAATACCTCCAACTGCCCAGCCACTCAAAACCAGGCCCAGCCAAGTTGACACATAACCTTAACCACCACAACTCCACCCCTTGTCAACTTGGCACCTGTACAGATCTTCATTGGGTGCCACCTGTACAGATCTCCTTCACTGGGTGGCTCCAGTCCCCTAGCTCCTCTGAGTGGTGACCTCACCCCCTTGGCCGGATGGGCCCTGTTCCTCTACCTCTTGGGCA